TTTTTTTTTTTTTTTGTTAAGAACAATTTACGTTCTTAGAATTTATGTCAAGGACAATTTATGTTAATTTAGTGAAAAAAAATTTGGTTATGTTCTTAGAAATTGATGTAAAAGTTTTTTATTATTTTATTTGCTCCAAAATTGAATGAATTGGCAGTGACTAGTGACTTTATCCAAAAAAAATTTGTGCGTATCGGAAATGTTAATTAGATTAGTAAGAAAGATTGTAATTTTTCAGGTATACAATAAATTTGTAAGATAAAAAGTTTTTAAAAGTGTCTAAAAATCTTTAATCAAAATCTATAGAAGTCCATTGAAGACTTTCATTAATTACTAAAAAATCCATAGAAGTCTACATAATTCGCCCACTTAAAAAGTCTGTAGAAGTCTTTAAAAGTTTCAATTGGATACATCTCTCTAGATGTAGTTGACATTTGATGTATTGTTAAAAAATGATTGGAGGGAAAACTGTTTATTTTTTTAAACTGTCCAATGATGTGGTGTCACTTGACAAAGTGTAAAAAATGATGTAAACGATGATGTATATTTAATATGACTTAAAAAAATTACATGTCAGGGCCAAAATCAAATTTTATTTAAGAATAAGTCTAAGTGTACATCATTGATTGATAACAATGGTTGACAACCATGTGTTGTCAAAATCCTAACATGTGATGTAGAAAATAATTTTTTTAAAAAATGAACGGATATGATGATGTCAAATAAGATATTATCAATCAATATTGTACATGTAGCATGATTCTTTATTTAATTATGAAATTTGATTAAATGGAGTTTGTTGTTACAAAAATTGAACAGGGAAACTCTAAACTTAGGAAAGATGAATATGGATAAAGTTAAATGCGATGCCCAGAATATTGTTCAGTGTGGGCATAATTTAATCAACGTTGAACTTCACCAACAAAATAGTTACCTCTTCCTTGATTTTCAGTACTTGTTTTGAAAAGATAACAATACATACAATAAGCAGCGTCTTTTTCTGCATTGTACTCCAACTAACTAACGCACTCTTTAGACCAAAAATGATTGAATCGTCTAACTTCTACTCCAAATTGTCTTTTTGAAAATTCACGATCTTGAGGTTAACAAGGACCAATTAGCATATATGTTCTTCGAACTTGATCTCGGATGTTAGCATTGTAATCCAAAATTAACATTCTTAGTCCAGGATCATTTGGAAGCTGTGTAACTTCAAAATTCACTTTATTCGATATCTTCCTATCAACATTTTCTACGATTGATTTTCTTTAAAATAATCTCTTCATTTGATATCTGGATTTAAACATTATTGCTATTGAGAATGGTTTCAAGTTAAGCCCAAATCAGCCTATCAACTGCTCTGCTTCTCTATTGCTTCTTATTTGGTTAGAAAAATTGAACCTTTTCCACTTGTTACGAAATAGACAATTAAAATTGATGACTTTATAACTCAAATATCCCCTTCCCCCTCCTGTCTCCTAAAACAATGTAGTAGTACAAAAAACACTCCTGCAATGCCAAAAGCACCAAGGAGAACAGTACTGATCTGTCGAAGAAGCTCAACTTTGATTACGTTATGCTTAACCTTGAACCTTCTTTCCTGAAACTGGTTCGATATAAATTTGGAAAAATGATAAACAAATGTATGCTTATGATAGATTCGTCAAATTTATACATAAATATAACTTTTAAACCCGAATATTTATACATAAAGGTCACAACCTTAATGTAAATAAAAATACCTTGCCAATAATGTTTTCTTGACTCTAGCAAAGTGGAACCATCAACCATTAATGTTTGGCCATTCTCTTTCTTCAACTGAACCTATTGGAACATTAAATAACCAAGAGGGAAAACGTCAAGACTGGGAATTACATTAGTATTTCTTGTTATAATATCCAGTATTAAAAAAAAGGGTCAATGGAGCAAACAAAATAATGATAAATTGTTGAATAGGCGTGATAGAAAGAAGAGATTTGTAAAATTAACAATTCTAATTAATTTCACCAATCTCTCGTGTCTAACCTTACCGGCTCCAACAACTTCTGCCTGCAAATGAATATCATAAGAATCACAAAAATGAAACATGATTTTAAATCAAACACAAGACTTAAGAAAATATTAATAGGTCATAGTGATTTTAGGTTCAATGTATGTTGAAAAGAAAAGATTGAAACATTAAACAAATCGAAAGAACAAATAGAGAGAAACAAGAGACCTGCCACAAGCTAAAATTTACCTCGCAGCCTCAAGCTTTCAACAGATCAAATATGGAGTTCCTTCAGCTGAATGAGCTGAAATTATAACCAAATAAAGAGAAAACAGAATGGGGAAGGGGAAAACGGGAAAATAAGAAGAGGAAACAGATAAAGAAACAATAGAGAAAGCAGAAGCAGGAGAAAACCGGAGAAGAAGAAGAAAGAAGACTAGAGAAGAAACATCAAGAAGAAGACGGGGATGAAGATGGGAGAAAACGGTTGCAAGCCAACAGTTTAATTCATCAATTCACCACCCAATTCATCGTCCAACTTCAA